CAGATTCTGAGCTCTGTAAAGTTACTGTAATAGTAACTGTAATAGTAACTGTCCTAAAAGTTAAATTGTAGATAATTAATAAGGAAGGTGGTAAGAAACTATAAATCTATGAAATCGAAGATTATGATTTTGCTACATTTTCTACTTACCAATAAGCTATTCAATATCTAAATCACTGTTACGAATTTTAATGTAATATCACTAAATTCCTGAAAGTCGTTTTTAAAATGATCTGAATTCATTAGTCAGGGGGTATACAAATGAAATAGTCTGGCGATATATTTGATCAGTTTTTCAGGAAATAGTAGTATGTTGCGATCATTAAATCTGATGAATGAAAATTAGTAAGCAGTTCTTACTTTGTACATATAATTAGTTAGAGATGAAGTAACTGTCAGTGTTGCACGTTAACTGACCAATAATGGGATGAAATACATGAAGCGAATGAGAGGTCATTTCCTTGGCTAAGAAAATTGACGATGAGTAACGCTTCTGCAATCACTCATTTACAGTTTCAAATGTCATTTGCGATAGTTTTGAATTATACTTCATTCAATGACAAAAAGATGGATTCTACATTTTTTTTATAACTAAATTTCTCATTTCTACTCAAAAACATTATCAGGAGAGAGCAGTAGACGAAAGAAATGAATAAAGATGAATAAAACATGAGAACTTTTAAATAAAGTTCATTACGATCCAGGATGTCGGCAGGTATTCTACTCATTATGCATAATTTTTTGACGAGCATCAGAATACCGAAAAACATACATATACAACACACATACAAACATGAATAAATAAACGGAAGTATACTAGCTGCATTGTAAAAAGATGAGAATTGAAATCTTCAAGTAGAAGAAAAATTTTTTTTTCTAAAGCTTGAATGAAAGGGTATAATACTAAGCGATACAATACTCTGCCATATAATCTCCACTACAACATTTGTCCTCATACTTTTTTAAAACATGAACTGAGGTGAATTCTTCTGATTGCTTGTATCTCATGGCGTTTACAATGAGTTTTATTAAAAGTTCAAATGACACCAATGCCATGCGCCATTTCATCAAGCTAGCAAGAATGCGTATAGCAGAAAATAGAAGTATTCTGATGAAGTGATTTTGAAGAACTTTTTGGTTAGAAAAGTGCATGATTTAGGTTAATTAAGTTCACTTGACCTGCTTTAAGTTTATAGAACTTGAACGAACCTTTTGCTTCTAATCTGCTAGCGAGATCGAATTAAATATGGTTTATTTCCTTTATAAATGTGATTTGATACAGCAAAAATATATATTCGAGTAACTGAAACAGCGAAGGAATAAATGGTCTGTTAAAGAGGAGGACCCCCTTTCTTTTTTGTTGACTGATTAGAGAAGATTTTTAAGGATGTAGGAAGTGGGCTGGCTTAGCAGATTAACATTTACAATGAAGAACAATGAAGACAGATGTACATTTACTATTTGAGGTTTAGATAAACGATTTATTGTTTCAAAGAATGGCATATAACAAAGAAATAACGAATTGGTTTATAGTAAACATCATTCTAAACACTTAGTGTGTAATAAAAATTCGGTTTTCCGACAAGTGTTGCTGTTTTGTATGGTGTACTATCTGTTCCTGTATAACTGGAGCTTTAAATACCGTTTGTTTTGACTAGGAAGAATATTTTCTAAGAGAAAGAATTCTGGGAAGACATAATATTGATAAAGTCAACATCGTTTCCAAATGTATTCACTGAATCTGAACCTTACATCCACTGCATGAATGTTTTTTGAATTTGAAGTGATTCCTGTCATCCTTTGATATCTTGTATGAATATTGTACTGCTGTCCATTACACTTTTTCTAATTCATATGATGGGACAGTATAAAAAAATCGAATAAAGTAAGATTAATTTATAGTGGCATTATAGCTAACATACGATTCTTCATTCTTCAACTTTTATTCATCTGTGTAGTGTGCATATGATGATATTATGTTTTGATTAATTTTAAGAATTCTTCCCTCGTCTTAGAATCCTTTCGGAAAACATCCATCATACAGCTGGTGATAGTAACGGCGTTGATTTTCTGGATACCGCGCATTATCATGCACATGTGACTAGAAACAATTATTTTTTATTGTCTTGGTATATGTTTGTTTATAATTTAGAAACTTTTATTACACTGCAGGTGTTTTGGCACATACTAAAAATGCAGATAAAAGTATCTCCGATTTCAATTTTGATGTCTAAATTGTTCTGAAATTCTTTTTCAGAAAGAGTAAGAATAAAATCAATTAATTACTGCAAATATGAAAGATTAAAAAAAAAAAAAACCTAGCTTCTATGACAACACCAACACCAAGTGGTTGGACGGCTTTGATTAATGCTGCTGCTATTTGCTTTGTTAATCGTTCTTGCACTAAATTCTTGTTATGATTCTTCATTGTATATGAAATTATTTCAAAAATGCATGAATTTATTGTAGTGGGTCAGATGATAACTCTGCTGACTTATGGAATGGAAAAAATGAGTTATCATTACAATCTAAAAATTCGAAGATTTATTGACACTGATTATTAATTAAAATTTATTGGAATTAACTTGTACCTTGTAAACGTCGGCTAAACATTTCAACAATACGGGCGATCTTGCTGAGACCCAAAATTTTTTTGTTCGGTATGTAACCGATATGTGCTTTACCAATGAAAGGTACTAGGTGATGTTCACACAAGGAAAAAATCTCGATATCCTTAACGATCACCATGTCATCGTGATCTTCATTAAACACTGCTCCGTTAATCAAATCTATAAGTAAGTTGAAATGAGGTAGGAAAAGAAGATCAGAGAAAGTACATGCTCAATATTTTGAAATCAGTAAATTTGTTATCCTTAAGCTTTAGTAGTTAATCATTCTGCATTTTCTTCGTTTATTTCTGGGCTTATTTGATAACATAACCCTGCTTTTATGAAAAATTTTGGGCAGAATAAAAAACTGAAAACATTTCAAAATCAGCTTATCAAAATCCTATTTATCACCATTTTCTTACTATTGGAATGCTTTTGTGCGCAAGACAGATTTCAGCGGTTATACGATTATTTTGCTAAAGTAGAAGTTGAGAATCATATGGGAAACAAAAATGTATGAGTAACAAATTTACCATCTAAGTTGTCTTCATAGCCTTTGGTGAAGAAAAGCATAGCTCGAGCAGCTCTCTCGGGAGTTTTAATTAATCCTGGACGTTTGCAGTCATCTGCACAGTGTCGGATAATAGTTTCATAGGACTGGCGTAAATTTTCCTGCTTTGTCGATGAATGTTGCACCATATTATTGCATTGGATCTGCTGCATCTGCTGCATATTTTTCTGTACTTTCTTTATTCATTAGAAATGAGCAAAAGCAAAAGTAAACTTCAAAAATTTACTTTCAGTTTTTTTTCTTTTTGTATAATTGTAAGCATTTGCAGAAAGGTTTATGCCCAAAAAAATGTAAAATGAGGGAAGCCTAATTCAAATGCATATCCAACATTCGATTTTTAGAATGTTCAACATCAACTATTGATGAAATATTTCTCTGATAAGGTTTTTGGATATACAAGCCTAAGGGGATTTTCAATGACATAGTTTCAAATTCTAAGCGCTTTCCTTTTTCCCTTTTCAAAAATAAATGGCAATTATACAGGTACTGAACTAGCAGATAGACTGCTTTAATATTGTTAGCAACAGAGCGAAACAAGAATGAAATATCTGATTTAAAACTTTTTAATGAACAATTACTAAAATTTTGCAGTTTCCATAAATATTTGAATGATTTTGAGAAAAGAATGATGAAAGAAAGATAAATGAACTAAACAAAGAAAAGAAGGAAAAAATATATCCTAAATTAGGTTTTTTATCCTACGAAATGAGAATATGTTTCAAGGATGCTTATATGCGACGATAAAATACTTTGTTTTAGCATTTTCTTTTTTTGGATATACAGATTAATTCTATTTTTTACAAAGAGACAAGAAGAAAGAAGAGACCAAAACTTTTGAATGCTTTAGAGAGAACTTAGAAGAGGTAGCAAAATACTTTCATTTGCTTTGGTATTTCCTTTTTTGGTTATGCAAGATTGAAGCAAGTTGCAAGATAAGTTTCAATTCTCGATATACTCGTTTCGGTTAGGAGCGGTATTGTATTCCATTTTCATGTCTTTCATATTCCTCAAAAATACGCCATCCTTTCTTTCGTCTTTGAAAACATTATAGGTGGGAAAATGCATTTCAGAATTTACAAATACTTCATGCTTAGTTATAGAAAAAATGAATTCATTTATGGCTGTATAGCTAAAAAATACTTTAGCTAACAGTTATACATATGATTGCAATCTGGCCTAGTCTATCTGGCAATATGGGCTGGTGTATACTCTAAGTTTCCTGAACGAGTGCAAATGTGCATTGAAAGACACCGCTATAGCATGTATTGAAGAAATTTGAGCAGCAATTCGAAGCAAAATGATTATTTCCTGATGGTTGGCGGTATTTAATATCTCGAAGCTCTTATATGGCGCCGCTCTAATTGCGTTTCTTATCGATTTGGAGGATTTATGTATAAGCAGAATAATCATGCTCGAGATATCATTGTCCGATATGTTTGAGAAATTGAATAGAAGGAGGAACGGATGCGGAATTGAACTGAGAGGAAAAACGCGCCGTAGATGAAGTCAGGAATATCGAGAAGAAAAGTAAGGAAAATGAAGTAGGGAAGAGGTCAGACATAGAACAAAAAATATGAGAGCAAATCCAGGGAAAAATTCTGCTGAGAAAAATCTTTCTCACTCATAAGAAAAGTAAGTTAAAAACAAAATGAGAACTGTCATCATAGCATTGGTGACTTTGTCCACCCTCCTCTTTGACATCTTGGAAATTTATTCAATTTCTCATCAATTGTCTTTAAATATCGTCTGAAGCATGATAAATCAGTTATTCAAGCTAATGCATTTCTATCTATCGGTCTGTTCTGATAGCAACCGGAAAAAATGCAGTCTAGTGCCAACACCACTCCAGTTGATTCAGGAGAGCCAAAAACTCAAGATGGTTACTTCACTATCTTCTTTTGCTTCAGATGTTTTGTTATTTCAGTAATGGGTTAAATAAATTTGGACTTTGAAGATCAGAAAAAAAGAAAGTTAAGTAGAGAGGACAGAAAAGTCTTTGGCAGTCAAAAGTTCCTTGACGAGACCAAAGGCCTCAGAAGATAAGTAATGGATAAAGGAAGTTAAGTAATAATGCATCTTTCCTCTTCTTTAAATAATCTCTGCTATTGAAATAGACAATGAAGAGAAATTGTACACAAAAGCGATTATGCGAGCATATGCACGAAGGTCAGCACTGCTGGAGCCAATAGCAATACATCCACCTGGCCTGATACTGAATGATGACACACTTCAAGAAGGGCCTGAAATGCAAGAAGGCGAACTTACTGACGGGGTCTATTCCTTTGCACTCTTGCTTGCTGATAAATTTTTGATAACATTTTATAGTTAAGATATAAATTAAATGACTAGCTACAACGAATTGATAACATATCAGGAGAAAAGATTATTGGATTCGTGTAAATGTTAAATTTGAAAGGTATTCTACTTTTATTGACATCTTACGCTGTTATTGATATTATCCATTAGAACTAGTTATAGCTGGATGAAATATTGCTGAAAATAATTATTAAGCTAATTTCATTCCAAATTTCGTTTAAATATCCAAAGAGAAAAAATTAAGAAATTTTCAAAAATAGCAAATGAACTGGATGAAGAGATTAAAAAGACTTTTTCCAGCTTTCCGACTTGACCGATGAGGAAAATTATCGTCATTCTCATACAAAGTCGCTGTCCAAGAAGGTTTTAATCATTTAGCTGCTACTTTACTAATCAATAAAATGATATTTAACTCTGCATGTGAAATTATAAATAATACGATTTACATTACTTCAATCATTGCATTCAAATTAAATCGAAAAGTAAATTAGGCTTGGGCTAAATTAAACTAAGAGTTAAATATTCTATGTTTTTTCATCTTGTCATATTCGTTCTAGTCATTCTTTGCAGCTATTCATCAAACTTTTAAATGATCCACGCGTCTGGTCATTAACTGCACTGAACCTTATAGTAGCAGTAACATGTTTCGCCATACTTATCATTACGGCGGTCTTCCTTATTAAAATAGTGGATGTTAATAAAACGGTATTGTCTCTCACTGTCCTTTTGTTGACATCTCGAAAATATGAAATTGTTTATATCTATTAGTCAATGCTGTTAGAGAAACAAGCAAGGAATAAAAAAGTAAAAGCTTTCGTAGATAGCAAAAATCTCCAACCGAGAACAACCATGTCTATACCAGTGGAGTGAATGGAGCTTATGCTCGGAAACATGCTCGTCCTCTTCACGTCTACCCTCTCGATCACGACATGTCCTTAACAAAACCATTATCCAAGCTCGTGGTCGTTTTCCTGCTTGTCCCAGTAATTTGGAAACAATGACTGAATATATGCCTTGCAATGTCTATAGGTACCAGTTTTTACAAACATAAACTTTGCAATATTTTCAAAATACTGATTTCAAATTATATACCTACAAATTTTCATATCATTATAAAAGTTTTTAAGAGTCATATAAGATCATTGATGATATTATGTCATAGATTTTAAATAAACTTCACATTGACTCAAAAGCAAATCAATTGGATGAAGAGATTAAAACGACTTCTTATCTCAAATAATTTATTGAAAGTACTTTAGATGTCCAGTAAATCTTAGTTCCTTTACTACCTGGACTCAATGTTTCTACAAAGATCCTAACATCCGTGAAGCAGGCGGTTGCTACAGAATGCGCGATCTTCCTACCACAAATCAGCTTATATATATCGATACCGACAATCTTGTTAGTGATTGCAACTGTCCTGATTACATTGTTTAAACACTTGTTATTCATGCCTCAATTTTACACTGCACTGTGAAAGAGACACTATCTTCTTGTCTTGTTTAAATAAACTCGCAACAGAAGAATTATCTCGGTTTTGAATTACTTGAAATGAACTATCGTCTTGCCTTCGTCGCAATATTAGGAGATCAAATGAATCTGCAAGTGATATGAATTGAAAATTTGCTGCTGTAAAACTTTAAAAAACTATTCTTAGAATTATGTCCACAAATTTTAAGTTTTTCAAATTACTTTTGCTTTAAACAGCCGTCGAATATTTTCTAAAACAATAAAAACTACAAATATGTTGTCGAAAATGATCTAATCACTGATGTTGTTAATATCAGCTAAGAGAAGAAAAGACTAAGAAGATTTAGAAATTTTTGGATAAGGAATTGAATAAGTCCAGCAACTGATTTTTAACTTATTCGGATATAGATAGTGTTGAACTACTTTTCAACTGAATCTACTTCAAAGTAGAAAAGGAAAATTTTTATATAACGATAGTTTTTCAAAGTTATTTACATAATTTTTAAGCTTACAATTCGACGTAATTTTATGCAAATTCATAATTTTATGTTTTTCGAATAAGTAATATAAAATTGAATGGAAAATAAATTAAAGCATTAATTTTGATCAGTTGTTTCATAAAAATGATAAATTCAAAAATGAATCCAATCGCCTTACAGGAATCGCAGGAAAGTATCGTTTATTGGTTATATTCGTATTAAATATGTAAAACACAAAATCGTGTTTTACATGGCTATTACTGAAAGGAATTGAATATGAGGAGTTGGGAATTTGAGAAAGTATTGCTAAAAGTGAAAAGAAAAGATCATTAAAAGAAAAAGAACAATTTAACCAAAAAGAATGGAATATCATAATAAATCGCATGATTATTTGAAGATTTTCAGAAGACGAAAGTGAATTGTTTGATACGAAGGTCATACATGGATATGCGCAGAAGTCTGCGCTTTCTAATGAGAAAGCAATACTTCCTCATCAGGAAGAAACCGAACAAAAGACTCTTGATGATGAACCTGAAATGAAAGAGGGATGTTTAACACAGGAGGTAACTTTGCAATTCGCAGTTCATTAAATACTCACAAACTAAACATACTTGTTGGTGCGGAAATAATGCTAAGATTTCCAAGATCTGAATAAAAACAGTTTTTTAGCTATCTGATGTAACTGAAATCGAGGAAGATATCGCTTCTTCTTCCCTATCCTTTTCATACACTCTATATAAGGTAATCTTAGTTGTTAATTAACTGCTTAATTTCTCATTTGTCTCTCTGTTTGATGATTCTAATATTTAGCTTAAAATTGTAATTTATAATAACATTAATTTGTACAACTATTTTGATTAGTGCTCTACCATTGTTTGGATGTTAGACCACTAATCACAATCAAAAAATTAAAAAAGTTACGTCATTAAAATAATTATTAATACATCATTACTAATTATGACTATCTTCTTTTCGGCAAAGTTTAATAATATTTTGTATACTTTATTATTGCTCGTAGCGAATTATGCGTGATCCACGTGTTCGAATGCTAACCGCAGTAAATTTTATGGTAATTCTGTTATGCCTTTGCTTATTTATAACTATAACAGTCTTTTTGATTAAGACACTTATTATCAACAATAAGGTAAGTATGATGTTTTTGATTACTAATTAACCTATATCTGAATTAAATTCACACATTTCTAGTTTTTATTGAATGAGGTTAGAGAATTAAGTTATTAAATCTCTGAAAGTCAACTAAAGATTAAAAATATCCAGTGTTTAATTGATCGGATAGTTAAAGCTTGAAGACCCAGAATGTTTTTGTTTAGCATATATATATGATTAGCCGACTTCTGGTATATTTAAACAAATCCCGTTCTGTTTAAATCAGCAATCAGCAGATTAGCATTAGCTAGTTATCATCGAGTGAAATAATTCCTGAATATGCTTTCGTAAATGAGCATGAAACAGATAATGCAATTGTATTTCGCTCTTAAACAATTTTATTAAATCCCATAAAAGTTACTGAAAAAAGCTGAACTTAGCAGATAGCGAAAATATCAGAAAATGAATTGCCATGTATGTATCAGTGGAGTGAATGGAGTGCATGCTCAGAAACATGCATGAGCACTTCAGAAATGCCTTCTCGATCACGTCATGTATATAAAAAAAGTATTATACGTTCCCGCGGTAAATTTCCGCCTTGTCCTGAAAATTTGGCAACAATGGTTGAAAGAATGCCTTGCAACATTTATCGGTACTATTCTTTTTTTCTTTTTATGTTCTGCTTTCATATTGGTATATTTCCAAAATTAAAGGTGACATTTATTTGTATCTAAATTGAGCAAATTGCAGATGTCCGATAAATCTCAGTTCAATCACTGGATGGACTCAGTGCTTCTATAAGAATCCAAGTAAGGGTGCAGCAGATGGATGCTACAGAATACGTGATATCCCCACTGTTAACCAGCTTATTTATATCGATACCACAAATGTTACAGAAGATTGCAAATGTCCTTCCATCGTTTTTTAAATTTCTGTTTAGTTTCCAGAACGTCCCATTAAAAAAACATTTCTATTAAATAATTGTTTTGTCCATTAAAATATTTCTGTAAAAAAAGTATTTCATCAGTCATTTGTGCCTTTGATTGAGATTTGTGAATTAACGCTTAGTTAAGAATTCTATTGCTAAGATGTTAATTTTTGATAATGTAATCAATATTTATACTCATTAATATTTCCTTGTTGAATACTAATGTCCTATGATTCCATGCTTTCAAAAAAAGTGATTCATGTTAAACCAGAACTTAAAAATTCAGTTCTTTTAAAAACTTTCTTCCGTAACGAGCAAATCAAATTACAATTAGGAGCAAAATTTTAAAGCAACCATTGGCTATTTATTCGTCATATTGTTTTCTTCCAAAGATACAGTATATTTGCTGTAAATTGATGTAGCAAAAGATCAAGCGTTGTACTAAAAAAGCAAATTAAATATAAGCAACTGAAATTCAGAAAGAAAAATTCACAAAAAGATTAGCACCAAATCATTTTCCTATGACGATAATTTCAGTAATTCTTGTTTTTTTTTCGGTTGTAACTGTAACTCACATGTGCTGCCATAGGTTCCGTTGGGGCAAGTTCGGCATTCCACCAGTGCATCACCGTTTATAAAACAATCTCCGCCATCCCTTCAAATCCATTATTTGTATTGAAACATAAAAGCTTAATCCTTTGAGACATGACACTTTTGTTACAAATTTTCAACGTTTTGAAATCATACAGTATGCACATGATATAGTATACTCATAGTACAATATACTATAATTAGTAGTAAACTGTATATAAAAAGCGATGAACACATACAGAAATTCTATTTGCCGCGACGGTCAACTGATCTGAACCATCAAAAGCCACCAATTGTCTCCCGGATATTTCCTGAGTATTTTAGCTTCTAGACTAAAGAAACTTACGGGCATGGACATGGAATGCAATCCTCAGCAGTGCCCTGTGTCGCATCACCATAAAAACCTTCCGCACAGTTCTCACATTGGTTTCCAGTTGTGTTATGCAAGCAGGACTGTAACGAGAGTCCATCAGTTATAGTAACACAGTTATTGTTTGAAAGTTGGAAAGATATATCAGAGATGCGAGTTCTCCCAGTATATTAAACTCAGTCATTACTTCAGTTGCACTCAACTACTACAAATGCTAAAATTTCTTCTTATTACTTGATTAGTCTCTAAACAATTCATTTAATTATTCTAAACATGTCCTACTCAACTGAATCCATCATAATAGTCAACAATTAAATAGTAGTAACTCTCTAAAAAAATGTGGAAATTATTACAAAACATTCGCCGTTCCCATTACATTCAGTAGAATGATTGTTGCAGAAACATTCTGTGAACTCATTGTTTTTTTCAACTGACAGGCACCCTATTTCACCTATTAAAGCGTTCCCTTCAAATCCATCTAAACATCTAAAAAGATATTTGATCGCGAAAATAGCAACATGCTTAATGTGTTGATGAGGGTAATAATGATGTAATTTGATCTCGCAATGTTAATTTTAGATAAATAAACTGTTGTATCCTAAATAATAAACCTCTCGATCTATCTCTATCATTTTACTGTTTCTAAGCAACCAGATTTCTGTCCAGGTAAACAATAAAAATAATTCTCTGATAGGAAAAAAAAAACAAGTTTTGATTATAAATTTAGTCCTTCAATTTTATCATCAGAAGTCTGCATCAAAACTGACATCTTCCTTAGCTTACTTTTCACATTGTATTCCGTATGTATTATCAGCACAGTTCAGACACTCGTGAGTGAATGGACCACAAACGGACGAATGACCATTGCAAAAACAATCACCCTTGTAGCCAAAATAGATCCGATTGCAAATTGGAATGGATTTTCTAGATGATAGATTAGAGAAGTAAAGTAATATCACTCAAAATTAAATATCGTTTAACTTGGTATTTAAATATCGTAATAATTTTTAAATGTAAAGTAAGACTTACTCGGCTTTTATTCTGTTTTTCTTATCCTTTATTTCAGCAGCATATGTTGCCAGCTCAGCACTGAGCATTTGTGCTGTGAAATTTTTGTCTAATCGGTGATCTTCCAACTTCTGCCGAAAAGTTCACAATTTGTCAAAAATCACAAACAAATCGTGAAACAAAATGAATAGTAAAGAGTAGGAAAAGAGATGGAATAATAGCAAAATTGATTCTGTTCCTTTGTAAAAAATAAATTTTATATTTCCATAAAATTTTACAGTAGCAATTTCATTGCCAAACATCCGACGAACAAATCGTTTACATTTAGATTCGATGATCTTTCGTGCATCCATTTTCTTCTTGTGTTCAGCTTTTTCATAAAATTCAAAAATGCGTTCATAAACAGCATCATCACTTATTTCATGATCTTGAATTAAATGACCTAGTTCGAGCTTCTGAAAAATAAAAGTATTCCAGACATTAATCTCATTTCTTGAAGTTTGTCAGTGGAGAAGAAATCTAAAAGTATTAAGTTAAGGCTAAAACAATTGGTTTAAGATTTTACTTTTACAAGCTTTTTTAAAAGTTGTGTTTAAGTCCTAAATCCCCGCTTTATGTTAACAGAACTAACCTGATCAGGAGATAACCACGACATTAATTCTCCAAAGTTGAAACTTTCAGCATCATATATCTTCTGACAAAGAACGCCTACTTGGCTCGCTTCGATACGCTCGTTTTCATTTGTTAAATTTTCAATTAACTGAGTAAATTTAGTTAATAATAGTTTCGCAGATGTTGACTCTTTGTACGTAGATTTAAGTATTTCGAGTCCGTCAGTTCCAAGAAGTTGTTCCACTCGATTTTGACAAAACTGCTTTAATTCTCTGAAAATTTTAAAACTGAACAAGCAATCATGGAACAGAAAATGAAACTTTTCGGTTAAAGTAGTTTAGTTGCCTGCGGTTTTAACTTTTATAATACCTACTTTAACCTTTAGTTAGTATCATTGATTTTTAATATTCACTAATTTCTTTAAAAAAAACATTACTCGGATACTTTTTCTTGGCTTAACGAATCGAGGTTTTCGTAATACTCTAAAATTTTTGCTAAAAGGTTTTCATTTCTTGCTCCTTCTGCCAGCATCGCTTCAATTTCGATTTCCTGAAATTCGTCCGTGCAAACTCCTAGCAGACATATGTTTGAATTTGACGAACTGAACAAATAATTTTTTTTTGTTTAAACTTTACTTGTTCTTTCGTAAACCAATGCATTTGTTTGACGAATAAATTATCTTCATTGATTTTCCTTGGAGATCGAACTGATGATAACCCATAAATATTATAGACTAGCATGCAAGTTGGAGCAATCTGAAAATTTTCATTTTTCTCTTTCAATAGCTAAGAAATATTTGCTAGTCACTTTAAAATAAGCAGTAAGAGCTAAAAAACTTCTTAAAATCCTATAAACTTTGTTTTTGGTTCCAATACTCTATTCAATTGAAATGTTTACCATATTAGCATATTTTTTATTCCTTTCACTCAATTGCACATAAAACTGATTCAGTTTCTCTCTAATTTCTTCTCCTGTTCGACCAAAGTCGTACATATCCACAACTAAATCATAATTTTCATCGCCCAGTATTACTCGCAATAGCTCTTTGCATGTTTCTCGAAAGCTTCGTACTGCCTAGAAATGGTAGTTTGGGATTGATAATCGTAATTATTAATTAAATCAGAACTGAACGATGGAAAATCAATCGCTTGCTTGTTTTTGTTGATTAAAATGGACAATTTTGCTCATTTAGCAAAATTGATGAAAAAAAGTTTTATAATAAGAGTCTTATCATAATTTTGCATTTAATTTCCGTTCAAATTTTTGCAGAGACTGTCATTCAGTACTAAAACTAGAAGTATAATCGTGACAAATAGAATATAACAGCAGCGTAAATCTGGTGCTTATTAAAATCAAGTGGTAAAATAGATTAGATGAATAATCATGAAATTAATTAAAATTATGAAAATAATATTAAAATTAATTGACAGAAATAATGAAAAAATAAACTACAAAGCTAATCTAAAAAATGTTCCTTTAGAATCGGAAAAATGGTAATTTTCCCTTTGTTTTCTTTTCATTTTCTCCAGAAACTCATCGAAAGTCAAGTCTTAACAATGAATAACATTTGATCATTTATTCTACTGCCATTTTTACAAGATTGCTTAATCAAAGATGCAAAAGGCAGCATTTCATTCTGTTTCATATTAGTTATTGTGATAAAAAATCCGAGATAACACTGTTCAAAATTTAAAATTTGAACTAACCAATTCTCTCAATCCACCATCGGTCATAAGTAGTTGAGCATATGTTTTTTCTAACACCAATCCTACATCACCTGTTGTTTTATATAGCTTGTTGAGCATATGAACCTGCTCTATGGTCAACCATTTCCACATATTTAAATTACCAACTCGTTCCCACTTTACATTTTTTTTTTCTGTTGTATGCTTGTCAACTAGAATAGCCAACACCACATCTTCACCTAAAAAAGAATTTAAGCGAAGCCAGGTATGAGAAAAGGAAAACTCTTAAAACCAATTCATAATGATTTTTGATGACACTAACATCGCGGCGCACTGATGCATTATCACTAGTAAATGAATCAGTCTTAATTTTCCCACTGTTTTATTCTGCAGTGCTCGGTACTTCTGTTTCCTAAACAGTTATCAGGTAAGAAGAAGACAATTAGTGGCAGGTACTAACTTTCGTCTGATTCGAAATTTAGAGGTCCCATCCGTTGAATTGTCACTTGAGCATTTCCTTTAATCATTACCGGTCTTTTCCAGTGTTTTGACCACTCAGTTTGTGTAAGGAATTTGTCAACATAATCATCTTGGGCCACCAGTGATATCCTTCGAATTTCATTTGGAAGCTATAATGATCAGTTTTGGATCTTTAGCAAGTCTATTTTATCTGAATGTATGATGTGCTTTCATATTTTCAATAAAGATTTAAATTTTTCTACTGAAAAATTTTA